AATATGATCTCATTTGATCTTCACATCAACTATTAGGTAGGTGCTATTATTCTCCTCATTTTACAGTGGAGGAAACAGAGGCAAAACGAAGCTAAATGGACTTTAGAACAGAAAGTTAGAGCTGTTCTCTTCCCTTCATCTCATACCTCTCAGCCTCCCTGTCCTTTCCTGTTTGGGCCCATTTAGGGCTGATGGACAACTGAGGCAGAACTGAGATCCCTGAAAGGGGGTTAGAACTGGAGACTTTGGACACTGTGGGAAACCTGGCTTCCAGGAATGTGCTCCTCTGGTGTTTTCAGAATGAACCCAGCTTCCCAGGATCCCAGATCTGCCCCCCCCCACTGTCTTGTTCCCCATTCCTCTCCCTACCTTTCCCTTAGTATTGAATTGGGAATCAGAGGAACTAACTGGATTAGGATCCCAGTTTTCCTGTGTGACCTCGGACGTCCAAGTCTGTTCTCATCTCGGGGCCACAATTTTCTCCTCTGTAAAATGAGGAAGTTGGAGTTGATAATCTAGAAGGACTCTTTTAGTTCTAAAACTTCCAAGGGGAATTGCTGTAAGTTTCATGAAGTACAGAGTCCTCCGATCCATATTCACTCCCCTAATCCTCATCTCAACCCCTTCTCCAGGACCTGCCACACACTCTGTCACCCAGGATCGGCCAAGCACCCGCTGGGCTTTGCATGCTGTACTTTATAAGGAAAATGAAGAGAGTACATTCCTGCCCTTAAAGATAGCCCAGTCTGGCTAGGGAAACAGGGATGCAAGCATGTGCTGTCTCTCTCTCTGTCTCTCTGTCTCTCTCTGTCTCTCTCACACACACGCGCGCACACACACACACACACACACACACACACACACACACAGAGGAAACAGAGAAGAGTTAAGGGCTATGTTATGTGGAAATGGCCTTGAGGACTAGAGGGGTCTTCCGAAAGGGGATATCCAGGAAATCTTTCTGGGGGAGCCAGGCCTTGAAGAATAAGCAGTGTTTTTAATCTGGTTTTCAAGTAGGGACATAGTGTGGCACCTCTGATCTAGCCCAGTCCCCTCATTTTATGGAGGTGGAAACTGAGGCCCAAAGAAGCTATGTGATTTGCCCAGGTTCACACGAGTAGTTAGTGGCAGAGCTGGGTTTCAGACACAAGGCTAGTTTGATCCACTGGGCCATGATGCCTCAGAGGTAGGTGGTGCCAGGGTTTTTGACCCCTTTTTACAGAGAAGAATCTGAGGCTCTGAGTGGTGGAGGACCCGAGCAAGATCACACAGTGTCTGAGGAAGGACTTGAACCCAGATCTCTTGGCTCCAAGCCTAGTGCCATTTGTGTAAATAGACTGGCGTTGCTGTCTTCCTCCTTGCAGCTGGCAGACAGTGAGCTGAAGGCCGGGGCCCTCCAGTTGACCGTGGATAGGCTGAACATAGCGCTGGCCAAGGCGGAGGAGAGTGAGGCAGCCCTGAAGGAGAAGGTTCAGGGCCTGACGGCATCCCTGGCGGAGAGCAGCCGTGCTGTGACCTCGGCCCAGGACAAAAACCTGCACCTCCAGAAGTCCCTGACGGCCAGTGAGCATGACCGCAGGGTCCTCCAGGTGAGCTGAAGCAGGCCAGCGGGTTCCAGGTTAATGAGCCAGCCAATGGGAAAAGACCATGAGGCTCTAGATGAGAGAGCCAGCCGGCGGGAATAGACTGGGGTAATCCAGGTCAGGAATCCGATGAATGGCTTACAGCAGACTGTAGGTTCTAGGGGAAGCAACCAGCCAGTGGAAATATGTCCCAGGGTTTTAGGTTAGAGAAATAGCCAGTGGGAATAGGCTGGAGTGTTCAAGGTAGGTAAACCAACCAATGAATGGCTTACAACAAGCCCTAGGGTTCTAGATGAATGAGGCAACCAGTGGGAACAGATCATGCAGTTCTAAGTAAGACAGATGATGGGAAAAGGTCCTGTGGTTCTAAGAGAGACAGCCAATGGGAACAAATTGGGGGGGTTCTAAATAAGTGAGGTGGCCAATGAAAATAGGCCATGAGGGGCAGCTAGGTGGCGCAGTGGATTAAGCACCAGCCCAGAAGTCAGGAGGACCTGAGTTCAAATCCAGCCTCAGACCAAACACTTGACACTTACTAGCTGTGTGACCCTGGGCAAGTCACTTAACCCTGATTGCCTAAAAAATAAAAAAAAATGAAAAAAAGAAAATAGGCCATGAAGTTCTAAGTGAGAAAATCAGCCTATTGAGGGGGATGGCCAGTGGGAATAGGATGGGAAGGGGTTCTAGACCAATGGGAACAGGCAGAGAGTTCCAGCTAGAAAAGTAGTAATAGCTTAAGGAGGTGATGATCCAGTGAGGAATACTTGGGGTAGGCATTGAGAGGCCCAGGGCCTGGGTGGGGGGGGATGGGGAGGAGGTGCCCCCAATCCTGAATATCGAATGAAGCCATCTGGCAGAGCTGGGGAGCCCTGGGCGCAGCTCCCCCGCCTCCCAAGGGCCTGGGCCCCATCCGTCCCTCGTTCTCCCCCAGGAGCGGTTAGATGTTGCCCGCCAGGCCACGGCAGAGGCCAAGAAGCAGAGCAGCTCCCTGGGGGAGCAGGTCCAGACTCTGCGCAGTGAGCGAGCAGACCTGGAGCTCCAGAAGGCTGACCTTGAGGGCCAGGTGCAGCAGCTGCAGGAGGTGAGGGGGCCCAGGACGGGCTCTGAGTGGCAGGGGGCTCTGCCCATCCCCAATCACTAGGCTAGCCCCCGGCTAGTCTGCTCTTTCGTCCTTCCCTGGGGCATCCGTCCCTCTCCCAGCTCCTGCCTTGAGGAGCTTTTCCACACTCACACCCCACCTCATGACCCCCACCTCTCCCTCACAGCCCCTCCCTCCCCTGGTACTCCTCGGAGGGGGCCGAGGCCCCGACTTTCCCTGCTTTCTTTCCCCTAATCTGCGTCCTAGCTGCTCGACCAGCGGCAGGCGAGTGAGACCACTGCTCTGCAGGGCCTGCAGAAGGTGAAAGAGGAGAAGCAGCAGCTTCAGGAGTGCCTGACCAGCCTGCAAAAGTCCCTCAGCCAGCTGGAGGGGGAGAAGCGAGAAGCCGAGCGCTCGGCCTTGCGGCTCGAGAAGGACCGTGCTGCCCTCAAGAGGACTCTGGACAAGGTGATGCCCTTCCTCCTCCCCTCCAACAAAAGCATCCCTGACCTTCTGCCTCGAATGGTAGTGAGTTTCCTGTCCCTGGATGTCTTAAAGCAATCAGCAATCAAACAACCAACCAAAAAGTATTTATTAACAGCCTCCTATGTACCAGGCACTGCTCTAGGCAAAGGGCGGATGCACATATAAAGAAAGAAACAATCCCTGCTTGCGGTGATATTATATTCGAATAAAGAAGACAACAAAGAAATACAAACATATACGCAGCAGTTAAGTATTAGGTAATTTTTGAGGGAGGGCATTAGCATTTGTGGGAATCCAAAAAGGTTGGTGCGGAAGGTGGTGGTGTTTAAAGAAGGAAAGAAAATTAAAAACAAAAACAAAAACAAAATAATAAAGAAGGAAAGGGATTGTATGAGGCCGAGATGAGAAGAGAGTGTGTCCCAGGCAGAGAAGATAGCTTGGCAAAAGGAGATGAGAGATGGAGGGTTATGTATGAGGAGCAGAGAGGAGGCCAGGTTGGCTGGATCTCGGAGTGCAGAGAGAAGAATAATAAGGCTGGAAAGCCAAGTTGGGGCCAATATGTTTAGGGCTTAAAAGCTAAACAGAAGAGTGTGTATTTTTTCCTAAAGGCAATAGGCAACCATAGGTTGAGTAGGTTGAGTAGCGGGGTATATGGTCAGATCAGTGGCTACCACATGTAGGATGAACTAGAACAGGAAAGGCAGGGAGACCAGGTAGGAGGCAGGTGAGAGCTGGTGAGAGCCTGGCCTTAAGGTAACAGCTTGTGAGTGGAGAGAACGGGATGGTCACAAGAGATGTTGTGGAGATAGGAACAGTGAGGTCTGGCTGCTGATTGGTCATGGGGGATGAGGGAAGGTGAAGGCTTAGGGTAATGACAAGGGGAAAAGCCGCCAGCGGATGGAAGGATGGAGGGGCTGCCTTCAGCTGAAACGGGAGAATTTGGGGGCAGAGGTAGCAAGCTTTGTTTTGGACACGTTGAGTTAGAGAGGTCTCTGGGACTTCCAATGTGGAATGTCCAGTGGGCAGTCGGTGATGAAGGAGTGAAGCCCAAGGGAGGCTGGAGCTTGGGTCCAGATCTCTTCTCAGGGGTGATGACCAAGTCCTGCAGCAGACGCTCCCAGCATCAGCTGGGGGCAGGCTTTCTGAAGGCCGTCCCAACCTGGAGATCTGGATTTCCCGGCAGGTGGAGCGTGAGAAGCTGCGCAGCCACGAGGATTCTATTCGGCTGAACCACGAGAAGGGCCTCCTGGACCGCTCGCTCACTGGGGCCGAGCAGCAGATCCATCAGCTGGAGGTAGGCGTCCCTCCCTGCCTCCCACGTCTCTGCTTTCCTGGAGGGCAGGAGGAGATAGCCCCCACCCCAGGTCCAAGCCATGCTCTCCTCTTCCTGGGAGATAGCACAGTCTGAGCCCAGGAGGCCAAGACGTTCAGAGAAGAAGGTGGGATAGGGCTGGGCAGAGGTAGGCCTTGTAGGAGTCCTGGGGGTGTGCACAGCTAGAACCTTTGGGCCTGTCGCCCAGCCTAGCCCATGGCCTCAGTCAGTCAGTCAGCCAATCAACAAACATTTAGTTCAGGGCTTACTATGTTCCAGGCACTCTGCTAAGCTCTGGGATCCAAAGAAAGGCAAAAACAGCCCCTGCCTTCAAGGAGCTTACCTTCTAACAAAGGAGCCAACATGTGTATAACTATATACATATATCACTATAAATAAAACTATATCTATAGCTATGTGTAAAATTACATATATATAAAATTATATATATATATATGTATCATATAGGATAAGGACAGAGTAGAAGGACAGTAATCTTAGAGAAGGCACTAGCAGCTGGGGCTGCTAAAGGTCTTCTAAAGAGAAGGGGATTTGAGCTGGACAGAAGACAGACCCGGGACGTAGTGGTTAGTGGGCAGAGCACCTCAGACAAGGGGGCCGGCCATAGGAAGGGCAGAGATCTCCTTCATGGTTCCAGGGTCTCTTGGCATGACAGTCTCTAGAAGTTCTTCCGTTGACATTCTCTCCTCCGGCCTGGAAACCTCAGCTTGGCCCCCTCCTGGTCTCCTCTCCGTCTGCGGGGCTGCCTTCATTTCCCTCCCCATCCTTTTCCCAGGCCCAGCTGCTGGAGATGGAGCAGGGTCAGTGCCTGCTGGAGACAGGGGGACAGACGCAGCTGGAGCTGCAGCAGGAGTTAGAGCGGCTGCGAGGGGCTCAGGCCCAGGCCGAGAGGACCATGGAGGCGCGGGAGCGCGTTCACCGTCAGCGCATTCGTGGCCTGGAGGAGCACGTGAGTGCAGCAGGGATAGAGGCCGGGAAGTGTCCTGGGATGTACTGAACTTGGAGTCAGGAGACCTGGCTTCAAATCCTGGTTCTATGACGTCATAACCACTCTGAGAAAACCACTCGGTTTTCTCATCTGCAAGATGGGGCTGTAGAGCCCTATACTACCTACCTCTCCAGGATGCTGGGAAGAAGGTGCTTTATTATCCCTCCAGCTGCTATTATTCTGACCAGGAGGCTGTCATTGCCTTCAGCTGGGCAAAGGTACCGCATCTGGGCATGTATTGGTGCTTGCCCATCCCAGGGACCCCCAGCAGGGCTGACAGCTATTTACTTTCTTCCTTCGGATGTTCCTTGAGGGTCCTGGGTAAAACTGAGCCCCTTCTCCTCCCCATAAGGCAGCTGCATGAGGTTTGGTGTAGCTGAAAGAGCCTGGGTCTCAAATCAAGCCATCTCCTTCTGTGTGCCTCAGTTTCCCCATCTGCAAAGTGGGGGTAATATCCCCTACACTGCTTCCTTGATAGGGTAGTTGTAAGGAAGGGGCTTTTTCTGGGGGGGTTAGGCAGATAACAAGCATTTATTAAGCACCCACAGGCAAGCTGGGTGGCCCAGAGTGGGGAGGGAGGAACTTGGAGTTAGGACGACTTGAATTACCTCAGACACTGCACTAGCTGTGCAACTTTGGGACAAGGCCTCAGTTTCTTTATCTGTAAAATGGGGATAATCATAGCACCTACCTCCCAGGGCTCTTGTGAGGATCACATGAGTTAATATATGTATAGAGCCTTAAGACTATGTAATTGATAGCTAAAAGCACTGTGTACAAGGCACTTGGGGACAAATACAAAGAAAGACAGCCCCTGCCCTCCCTAGCTTATATTCCATTGGAAAAGGAGGCTGAAAAGAGGGGAAGAGAGGGAAGGTTGGCGGGGGGTCAGCAGCCAGTCCAGGAGGGGAATGAAGGATGGGCCCCTCCCCAGAATAGCGGCATTCACCAATGGGAGAAGGTAGCCATTGGGGACTTTACAGGGTAAGAAGGCCCCCAAATGCACCCTAGAAATGGGAGCTGGTGTTGATTTCCTTAACACTTTCCATCCCCTCTCCCCACAGATCTCCACCCTGAAGGAACGGCTGCAGCAGGAACTTCGCAGGGTCCCCCAGGGCTTCTCTCCATCCTCTTCATCCTCTGCCCCCTCTGGAAACTGAGCCCCCCTCCTGCTTGGGCAGCCACTGAGCCCCCATCCTCACCCCGGACCTGGACACTGTCTTGGTGCTAGGCCTGCTTCTGGCCCAGCTGCCCCAGAGCTTTACAGGGGCACTGGGGGACCATGGGCCAGGGCCTGACCACTGAAGAATGGTGGGTGGGAAAGGAGGGGAAGCCATGGCCTGCTTGGCTGCAGAGGGTGGAACGAGGAGCAGAATCAGAGATTTAGGTTCAATACATGGAAACATTAACCACCAGTCAGAGTGGCCTGGGCTGCCTTGGGAGATGCTCCCCATCACTGGAGAGATCCCAGCAAAGGCGGTGGGATGACCACGTGTGGGGGGATTGTACCGGGGACCCTGCTCAGGTCTGGTTGGCCCAGATGGCCGCTGAGGTCCTTCAGGCTCTGAGATCATGTGATTCTGTGACTGTTTCCCCTCCACAGCTGGGCTGCTGGCAGAGGCTGGATTCCAGCCCCCCCCCCCAAGGTACCAAGGTCAGCTTCCCCTGCCTGTGGATCAAGCCCATTAGGCCCAGAGTCAGGGGTAGTGAATCACTTTGTTTGGGATGAGGGAGGACCCCCAATTCAGTGCTCCGCTCCCTGCTCCCTACCCCCCCTTGCCAGGTGACTCTGGCCTCTTCCCAGAATCTCCAACAGTCATCTCCATTGGCTACCTCTCAGAGAACATCTAAGCATAGCCCCACAGGCCTGTGGCTCTTATGCCTTTTAAGGAAAAAACCTACCTGTGTTTCTTTGAGGGAAAAAAAAAAACCACATGAGAAGAAAAAAAAACTGTTTCCTATTGTTTTTTTTTTCCTAGCGTGGGGGGACCTGTCTGTTATCACAGACCCCCTTAACTTAAATTGGGAAAAATGAGGTGGAAATGAGCTGGTGCGGTCCCCTTCCTGGTTCCCTGGGCTCCTGAGATGGAAACAGCTCCTCAGTGGTCCTTTGAGGAGACTTAGAAATGGGCACATTTCTGAGTAGGAGGGGAGGTCCATGCCTTCTTGGCATGAGAAAGTGGAGAGGAGCTTCCTATGGTGAAAGCCTCCATGGATTCAAGAGGCCTGGGTTCTAGCCCTGGCTTGGCCACTAGCTCACTGTGTAACCTTGGGTGCCTTCCACTCTGTGAGCCTGCTTCCTCATCCGTAAAATGGGATCAAGGATTCCTGGCATGCCCATTCTCTTCCCCAGATGTTGTGAGAACAGAATGAGAAACAGCCAGAAATGTGCTCGGGAGGAGGGAGCTGCCAGTTCACCCATGGTCCAGGGGACAGAGAGGGAAGAGCTCACCTCTCAAACCAGGGCCCAAGGGTTCTTAGCACTGCTTCCTGCCAAGGGTGGACCAGTCTCTTTAACTCTCTGACCTGTGTGTGTGTGTGTGTGTAGTGTGTGTATATATGTATATATTCATGTAGTGTTCATATATGTTTATATTTTTATGTATACATGTGTGTCTATATGTCTGCATATTGTATGTCTGTATATGTATGCATGCCTGTAAGTATGTGTATTTGTCTGTGTATGTGTATCTATTTATGTGTATGTTTGTGTCTGTAGGTATATATATGTCTGTATGCATATATTTATACATTGTGTATATAGTTATCTGTATATGTAGATATATGTGTATAGGTGTGGTGTTTTCAGCCATGTTGTCAAATGCTTTCAATGAGGAGGAACACGGCATTAAGGTCAGCTACCGCACTGATGGCAAATTCTTCAACGTGAAAAGGCTACAAGCCAAGACCAAAGTGGAGGGAGCATTGGTGCATGATTTTCTGTTTGCAGATGATTGTGCACTCAATGCAGCCTCTGAAGCTGAGATGCAAAAAAATATGGGTTGATTCTCTGCTGCTTGACCTAATTTTGGCCTAATAATTACCACCAAGAAAATACAGGTGTTCCATCAGGCAGCACCACACCATCCCTACATGGAACTGTTGGTTACAGCAAATGGAGAAGTTTTGAATGCTGTGGATAAGTTCACTTACCTTGGCAGTGTACTTTCCAGGGATGTAGACATTGATAATGAGGTTGACACACGCATTGCCAGAGCTAGCTCAGTGTTTGGGAGGCTCCGAAGGAAGAGATGGGAGAGAAGAGATCTTAGCCTGACTACCAAGCTGAAGGTCTACAGAGCCATTGTGCTGACCTCATTGTTGTATGCCTGTGAAACCTTGACAGTCTACCAGCACCATGCCAGGAACTGAATCACTTCCATTTGAATTGTCTTAGGAAGATTCTGAAGATCACCTGGCAGGATAAGCTACCAGACGCCTAGGTCCTTTCGCAAGCTGAGCTATCAGGCATTCAAATGCTGCGTCAGAGAGCACAACTCCAATGGGCTGGTCACGGTGTTCAAATGCAAAATGTATGCTTGCCAAAAAGACTATTTTATGGAGAACTCACACAGGGCAAGCGTTCACATGGTGGTCAGAAGTGATACAAGGATACTCTCAAGGTCTCTCTTAAGAACTTTGGAATTGGTTGTGTGACATGGGAGACACTGGCACAGGACCACTCAACATGGTGTGCCCACATCAGAGAAGGTGTTGTGCTCCATGAGCAAAGCAGAATTGAAACAGCACAAAGGAAATGCAGGATGTGCAAACTTAGAGGTTCCATCCCAAATGTTCCCACGGACTACTTGTGCCCGACCTGTGGTAGAGCCTTTTAGGCTCGCCTGGGTCTGATAAAGCCTGACTCCAGCAGCGATGTCATTTTGGCCCTCTTTGAGAACTAAGGACACCAACCGACCATGGACATTGTGTATGCCTATATATGTGTGTACATGTTTGTACAGGTATATATATGTATGTGTGCTTGTTAAATCTAAGTGTGCATGTATATGTGTGTATATAATGTCTACATACATGTCCATATATCTGTATATTGTGTATGTCTGTATAGGTGTATTCTGTATATACATGTGCATGTATATTTGTATGTATACCCACACTCAAAGGCTCAAAGAGATGAATTGATCCATTCCCCCAGCTTCCTCCACATTAGAGGATAGATTTGAACCCGGGTCCCTGCTGATCCCCAGGCCAGCACTCTCCACTCCACTGCCTGTAGAATCATTGTTATTTTTATTGTTATACAATTCTTCACACTGCCTTCCCCTCCCCGACCCTTCTGTCAGCCCCCACAAGGAGAAAAAGGCAGATTCAGCCTTACCCTTCTCCCCCAACATACCGATCCCAAACTTGGGTAACTTTTTTTCCTTGAAAATTTCTTTATTTTGTACAAAAAAAAATATATGATCTGACACCCCACTACAGTACGTCCAACCTAGAGCAGAGGGGATCTGCCCAAGGGCCTACTTTGGTGGAAACGGGTGGGGTGCCAGTGAGCACCAGGTGTAGGGAGTGACCAGGGAGCAGCAGGCATTGTACCCCAAGCCCCTCCTCTGCTCCAGCTGAAATGCCTTCCGCAGGCTAATGCCAAAGGAGGGCATCTAGGAGACTGAGGGGATGGGACCTGAGCCGTTCCAGGGTCAGGTGAAGGAACTGGGGGATGTTGAGCCAGGAGATAGAAAGGCTTGTTGGGGGGGGGGGGTTGGACACGAGAGTTATTTTCAAGTTTCAGAAGGGCTACAAAGTGGATGAGCAATTAGCCATGCTTTGCTTGGCCTCAGAGGGCAAAACTAGGCTCGTGAGGGCAAGTCACAGAGAGGCAGATTTCATTTTGGTGAAAAGAGAAATTTCCCAAAATGGGAGACCTTGAGTGGAATGGGCTGCCTTGGTGGGGGACGCCTTCTTTGCTGCAGGTCTACAAGTCTGGGGGGGGGGGGCTCACAGGCTTAGTGCTGGAAGGGGTCTCAGGCCATCAAGTCCAACTCTCATTTCACAGATAAGGAAACTGAGGCACAGAGAGGTTGTGACTTGACCAGAGTTATAAAACTAGTAAGTATCTGGGGCAGGATTGGAACGCAGGTCTTCAAACACCAAGCCTAATGCTCCATCCACTTTATGGCCTTGTCCCTTCCAATCCTTGATGTCGCTGACACCCGGGACTCCATGAGCAAACGCCCTCCCCCACCCACCCAGGGGTAACTGTGGGCTCATCTCCCAGTCCCTACACTTAAATCTGCTTACACACAAAGAGGAAAGAGAATTTAAAAAGTTTTTTTTTTTTAACCACACAACAGAATCAAACCCAGCGCCCCCACCGAAGTCTGCCGTCCTGGATTCAAGCACCTGGAGGTCCCCTGGCCCTTGGCTAGGCCCAGCTCCCCTCCCTGTGCCATCTTCCCACTAGCAGCCCCCACAGCTTCTGGCACAGGAGGCAGCCACAGACTGGCACAGGCCACTCGTCGCCATCACACCACACTTGGAGAACTTGTCACGACACAGGTCAGCTAGAGAGGGTGAAGGGGAGAGGGTCAAGCTGGTCCCCATGAAGACCGCACTGAGCGGCCGGGTTGACACTGACCGTGCTAGGGAAAGGGTGAGGCCCCAGGAAACAATGCAGACCTGGAGCTGACTTTGATCTGGTGCCCAGTGGGGGCAGGGCTCCCCAGCCACTCCCACCCCCTCACCCCCAATCCCTACATTGGACCAGGGGCAGGCAGGGGATGGGGGAAGGGAGTCCTACCTCGGAGCAGCTCCTCATGGGCACAGACAGTTCGGGCACAGATTTCTTTGTTGATAACAAACATTCGGCGAGAGCTGGGAATTGAAGAATGGGTGGGGGGAGGAATGGGGAGGCTTCATCCCCATCTTCCCAGTGATCCACCTCCCCTCAGGCAGGCATCCATTACCCACACACCCTTGCAGAAGGCTGGGGGCATTGAGTCCTCCAGTCCTAAAGAGCCCAAGACACCAAGCCTTCTGGGGGGATGGGTCTGAGGTGCCACTCTCCAGTGCCCTCCCAACGTTGGCCACTCACCTATAGAAGCACACCTTATGGAGGCACTGTTTGCAGGGCTTGTAGACCGAGTACAGGCGGGTGCAGGGGTACTGCTCCTCCCTACAGTCTGGGGGAGGGAAGCGGGGAGTGTGAGGGAGGCAGGACTCAGAGAGCCCCGCTTTCCTCTCCCCTAGGCCCTTGGGCTCTCGCCACCTTCTGTTGCGCCGGATGGGGCCGGGTCCCCTCTGTGCCCTCTCCAGGCTGAGCTTGGGCAAAGTGGGTGGAGGGAGACTGCCCGGGTTCTTACCTAGTGGTCCAGGCTCCGTGGGCTCTGTCTCTGGGTTGTCTGTGAGGGGAGAGACATCAGAAGGCATGAAGAGAGAGTCCCCTTAGAGATGGTTATCACTCACCGCCCTTCTGACAGATTCAGAAACTGAGGCCTGGAGAAGGGGGAGGCAGGACGACCCGGGACAAGGACAAGGACAAGGAATGGGCAGCCAGGGCATTCATTCATTCATTCATTCAGCGAACATCTATTGAGCTTTTACATGTATGGCACTGTACTGTCGATCAATGAACACTTAATAAATACCTACTATGTGCCAGACACAGACGACAAGGAATGAAACAATCCCCTCTCTCAGTGAGGGAGGAGGGGGAGGAAGATAAGAGCTAGAACATGCGAGAAGGCTTGAGCCGGGGGACGGGCCAGGGTAGGGTCAGGAACTTACCTTGGGTGGGGGCCGGGATCACCTCCTGCTGGACCTGCTGCTGAGACTGGTACTGTAGCTGTTCCTCTGGGGGGCGGTGGGTGGATTCTGCCGAGGAGGAAGAGGGCAGGTGGCCTTTTGGCGTCCCCTCCCCCTGCCCCTGCCGCTCAGCCCCCTCCCCTATCCTCCCA